CAGGGAAAATGCTAATCATGATGTTTAAACTATATTTTTGAGCTCTCAAATTCCATATAAGCTTAGATCTCTTCTAAATAGGTTAATTCCACACATCAGTAAATACCCTTAAAGTAGATCAGTGAGTGAAGCTTTACAGAGCATCCTTATCTTAACAACAATTTTTAATCAAATTCCCATTTTCAATTGTTAGCTTGATGTAAAATTCCAGCCCACATTTTCCCTTAAAAAACAACAACAGATAAATTGATCCCCCATTTTACCCATTTCAAAGTTCTCATAAATGTTGTGTCATGTTGTATTAAGCCATTAGAAGCTATCCTTTAGGTCAGTGGCACACCGTAGGAATGAAACAACATTTGTACATACCTTAGATAGAGGAAAATACAGGAGAACTGATATCTATGCTTTTCCTTGAAGTTTTAAAAGCTACATTGTAGGCTGCCTGTTTTTTTCCACACAGGAAGCCCATAATTTACATGGCTGGCAATCAGTGAATTTGAACTATCTAATATTACGCCACAACTATGTTACCTAAAATGCCTGGATCATGTTCAGCTTATTTTATCCTAATTCGAGCAACATAATCAAGAAAACATAATCCTTTACAACTGAAATAATAATGTGTTAGCGTGTCGGGATTGGGATCCCTGTGGTGGGCTCGTCCGATCATCGAATAGAAATTATTGCTTTAATAGTTTGTTACTAGTAGGTAAATGGAGCTAGTGCATCATATATTAAATGAAATAAAAGCTATTTGCTGGTGAAAAAATATTGGTTTTATTTCACCGGTTTTTGATTAGACGGCGAAAACAATGCATCCTTGTGGTAATAATTTATGCATCAATGCCCAGACAAGATGTCAATTAACAGGCTCAAAACTGGTTTCAAACCGGTTTTTGTTTGTCTTTCGAAAACGGACGTGACTAAYCTACGATCTCTAGAAGATGCTTTTGTAGGGAATCGCTGATGCTAATAAAAACAGACCGATTTTTACTTGTATTGCAGAAAATAATGTTTTCAATGCCATTATATTCGGAACTTGAGTTTCAAATTAAACAATTTCTCAGCTCAGTGGGAATTAGTTCGCTTCAAATCGTGAAAATGAAGTTGAAAAATACGCTAAGTAAGCAAAGACGAAGGCTAATGATGCAAGCTAGGCAGAAATCTTACAGTAAACCAGTCAATTATCTGAAAATATTTTTATTTTCATTAAAGATCTAACTTGTGAAATTTAATTTTGCATTACAAATAGATTTTTTTCGGTAAATAAATATATTTTTTTTATAATATTCCTTTGATTGTTAAAGTTCTCTCTCTAGATAGACTAAATAATAACGAGAACATTTCAAATTCAATAAACGAAGATGATCTACGTTAACTATTATAAGCGTGTAGAATAAAGATGTGAAGCACGAGAGCAACGGAAAGGTTATGAAAGCATTTCTTCATGTGCAACATGATAGTCTATATGCACAAATATCAAAGAAATATACTAAATTAACTATTTTCCCCTATCAACAAAGCGTTAAAGCTTAAAATCTCCTGATCTTGTAAAAATTGGAGAGTTTAAGAGTTCATTTTGTGGTCTTGTGCAAGTTTTTGGCGCGAGGCGTGAGAAGTGACACGCTTGTTGTCGYCTTGGTTTCGTCAGCCAAAGCGTCCACACTTGAACTCTTTTTGCACAACTTTTTGATCTTGCCTGTGTATTGAWCAATCTTATAAGTCGGGAAGATTGAACAAAGTTATCATTTAGTTCTTCAACAATGTTTTGCTGAACTTACAGTTCGGTAACAGTTCACAAGGCTTGTCTCTGAAGTCGTGAAAGATGACACCGRCATTCCCGGGTCATTCGCCGTCTAAAAGACGAACGTTTTAGGAAGTTTTTTTTCAGTTCTCCTGAACTTTTGGCTAAGCTTGCAAGAAGCAAATTCAGTCGTCCATTTAGGTAGCTATTTTTTCACGTCTATGATAGTGGCGATGTCGAAATCGACGACCATCTTCGGTGTTTGAACGMGAACCTTTCTCGAGCGACCTTTCGCGGTGCTTCGAAGACAGCTTCTTCTCGGCTTTGAAATTCACTCGGAGAGGATCGATTTCGATCTCTTTCTCCTCGTCAATGTTCTCAAGCATTGGCTCAAAGAATGTCGATGGGAATCGGAACTTTTTCTTCCCCTTCATCTTTCTTCGATGATGTTTACGTYTTGCTTTTGGACTWGGTGCTTTGATGTCGTCCATGCATTCCTTCCTTTGGCCATACTTGAAGTCAAAATCATAACCTTTTTCCATGGTATAATCAGTCATAGATAACGGAGGACCAACTGGCGATTCTTTCAAGGCTTGTTCAAGAGGTCTTTCAAGGCACATGTTTGTTGTTTTCTTGTTCAAAATTAGGATCACTCTACACACCTCCTCRCTACGAATATCAGATGTAAACTGATTGARGCGATTGCGCGTGAGTGCTTCTTATAAACCAACCAGCACGTCCGCCCAAAGCTGCTACGTGATGCGAAATTTGAGCAAACAATTAAAAATTTATAGATCAAATAAATSYACCAATCATARGGCGTTACTCATATGTAATTTGCATATCAATAGTGACCCCTGATGCGAGGCCAGCAAATCAGAATAAATTGGTTCTTGTTCTGCGCCCGAATTTTTACACTTAAAAAAGTTCAAGGTAATCAAATTGTCGATATTAACAATATTCAATATCTAAGGAGTAGATTCGATGATTTGTTCCCCGTTAATGCGTTAATGAAGAATGGTTTTTGTTCGTGATAAACGTAATTGTATACGTGCTCCCAGGAGCGACAAACATGTTTTGATTGATTTTCATTGTTGATATAGGAATGATTGACAGCTGTTCTCAGACTCAGAGTCCTTGATGATATTGAGCAGAAACGAGTCAAAACAAGGCTCCTTGGCAAAATTAACCTCCAAAAAAAATTCAAGTTATTTTGTATATTCAAAATGATATTTTAGGGCATGTTTTATTTTGCTTGTCTTAACATTTTAGAAAAGCGTCTCAACTTTTAATTAGTGCTAGTTTTTAATCGGTGTTTAGTGAACTGAAAAAAWTTTAATACTATTTCACATTTCAAGTTGGATTCTAGTAGAATCTCTCTCGTTGTAGTGAAAGTCAAAAAATAATGCCWAAAATATGGCTCAAGATCTCAGTATATCTCATTAGATATCTGAAGAGATCAAAGAGGTCAAGCAAGCAAAACAATAGGGCTTCCGACTAATAACATTCTACTCCCAAAACAATCCTACGTAAGCTCTCCTTCAATGTTTATAGCGTGCAAGTTTTGGATTTGATTTCGTTCTTGCATGTAAAAAATAAATCCTTTTAACACCTCTAACACAATAAAAAATGTTGGATGGTGTGAATGACGTAGGTAAAAATTTGAATACAATAAAAAGCTCTTCCTTGATAYAAGTGAACGCCAAGAAACTACATTAAAGCATTGTTTTGTCGGCTATATCTTATGCAATCTTATGGACTTGTATCTCCCCTAGATTTCTGGCATAAATACCATCTCTTCTTACATTAATTTTTCACWTATAAACCGTGAACTTCGAACCGTGTGAAGTCATGTAAATCGTCRAAATAATTAGTCCCATATCGAATATGGGTATATTGTAGCTACATCAGACAAACCAGAAATGTGGTATAACTTCGGACATAACCTAGACAGTTATATAACTMAACTGGTAGTTATATAACTTCGGTAGTTATATAACTTCACACGTGCGCTAGTAATATTTTTACATCAATATTTATCTCGAAAAACAAAATATGTTCCATAAAAAAAAGGAATTTGAAACCACTTCCTGKTGATTGGTTCTTTCAACAATAACGGTCCCGATTGATTGTTATTAACTATGATATCATGATTTCAGTGGTCCACTATTTCCAACTGGTCCCGGGTATTTCCAATTCTGGAGTGTATTAAATATTGCTTGTCATCTCTTCGTGGTTTGATTCTTTTTTTATGCTCCAAAAATGGCTTCCTATACATAGAACCCCGAATCTCAGTGAATGATCTGAATTATGATTCTAAACCGGCATCCAAGTGAGAGGAGGGGGCGGTTATTTATACGAACAGTAGGACACTAAAGAAATGTGTAAAGAAGCAGAACACATGACAATAGAATGCTATCAGTTTCTCAAAACACATTTTGAAATTTCAATTTAACCGTAGACACAACTATAGAGAAAAAAAAATAAGGAAAAATGAAATAAGAACTGAAATAAAATTAGAATTAAACTATCATTGTTCATTTTAGGGAGAATGCACAGCTGAACTGTCTTAATCAGTCAATTAGTATACCAATATCATTAAAACAGGGTCTGAATGGGGTTAACGGACTAGCGACAAATGGACAAAATAACTACTGACTAGCGACAAATTCAAATTTGAACAAAATTTGCTGACTACCGACATTAACAAATTTACTGACTGGCGACATTTTCCAATATTCAAAGATGTTAGCTCCGTGAATACAAGCTTTTTTTTTATTTTTCAAGCAGGCTACATTCGAATTTTTCCACGGAAAAATGAAATTTTGCTTCGGATTGGCTTCTTGAAGTTGTGATGAGCCACTCTAAAACTTTGAGGGGCATCCAATTGACCAATCAAGACTCAAGGATTCAATTGTTGGCATTTTAGAAAGAATTCTGTTGGTATAAAGCACCGTTTTAGATGCATTTAAACTTAATGTTTATCAATTTTTTTAAATAACCGACTACCGACAAGTGCCTAGAATTTTAACTGACTAGCGACAAATGCTTGAAATTTTAACTCGACTACCGACATTGAGACCCCCCCATTAAGACCCTGTTAAAAATATCCTTCATGGAGGAACTGTGATACTGAAAGAACTTTTGAATTAGAATTTTTTTGACATTTGAAACTATCGTTGAATTTGTACTTTCAATATCTTTTAGATTACCCATGCAGTTCAGATTAGGCAGACTCAGGCCTTGTGTAGTTAAAGTTTCAGATGGGAAAAAGTGGAAATATGGTCGAAAATGTTATGTTGTGTCGGCCCAGTGTAGTYCTCTCTAGCGAGTCTCGACATACAGTAAACAAAATCGACGGTCATTGATATTACTAGTGATGATCAGATCTTTTCCATATGCACGTCTCGCAAACAAATCGACGCCAAAACAATCAATCAGTGATCTCCAGAATCTCTTTTCAAAAACCACTAAGTGTCACAACCATTACATACTAGACGTTGTAATCGCAAAATGCATGTTTCTTTTAAATGGGGTTCCACAGGGATCATGTTTGGTCCTGCAGAATAACATTTATTATTTTTCATGACTGTGAGTAATTTGTTTCGTATTTTCACAGGAATAGAAGTCATAAGAGTAATTTAGTGTATCCTGAGCTATGATTTTAGCAGAAATTCATTTCCTCTCTAATGTGATTCAGAAAAATCCAGGGTCTTTTACGACTTGTGTCGGCTGTTCAAATAAAAGCATGTCAACAACATCGTTCTTTTATATTGAGTGTACAAAACGTAAAGTTGAATAAGTGTGCTGTAGATTGACAGTTTAGTTACTGTTTGTTTTATTTCAATAAAATGAAACTCTACGAACGTGACTGGGGTTGGCTTGCACACCAACTCCAGCTAGAAACGCCTGGCTATTAAGCTTACCAAAAAAAAAAAAACGTGATGAGCTTGGTGACCAACGTGCTTTCCGACTTGTCAGTCCGGAGGGTGCTTGTAGGGGAGGGGGGTACTTTCCTATATTCACTATAMGGGGACTTTCCGTCAAATAGGATCTACATTTTACCAATTTGTCTTAAATAGGGTATGGAATTTCACGATTTTGGTGTCTTGRTTAGAGTGAGGGTATGGAGGTGCCAGCGGAACGTCCCCGTAGTTGTTGGTTGTTGAGTTGGTRTAGTGCTAATCAGACTGACAGTTAAGTCTGGCTAGGAATACCCCCCTTCCTCCTCCCCCCCCCCCCAAAAAAAAAATGTCTCACGTGCTGAGATTTGAACGTATCAACCATGCACTGACTTTGCTACAATGCCATCCACATGTTACTTCAGCTTCATTGAAATATTCTGGCATAATACACCAAAATCAAAGTGTTCAGCTTCGTTTTTAATTTAATCGCGGCCTTCCGAGCTCCTGATATCAGTTCACCCTACATTATGAATTTTTTATCATTTTATTTTATTTTGTTACAGTTGTTTTGTTAAATAATCAAATCTGCAGTAATAGCATTGCAAAATCGGAACAGTTTTTTGATGTACGGTCTTCAACGTCATAAAATATTYAACACCCAAGTTACCATAGGCCATAGAGTGAACCAACGAGCGCAGCAAGTTGTCTAGTGTGTTTCACTGCAAAGTTTTGAGCAATTTAATATTTGTATATAATAGCAATTTTGTCGTGCGTCATGATCTTCAATTTTTGCGGCGATTTTAATAGATCGCACGAGTAAACAGTCTGCAAATTCACGGTGATTTCACAGCTTTAATAAATTCAAGTTGAAATCGCAGCGATTTGCAATAAAATTTCGATCATGTTCTAATTGGTTGCGATAAACCTGCGAGCTGTCGCCATGAATTTGCAGGCTATATATATACTTGAGCGATTTTGGTTTGAGATAAAAATCGACACAAAAATCGCAGCTCGTGTCGCGCGACAAATTTCAATTTAAACTTGTAGACTTGTTGCTTCAAGTAGGGGACATGCAAGCAAAAAATCGCGTTACCAAATTTTTATTATAAAACTGTGAAAATCATATCTCATATCATTCTCCTCATTCAAACCGTGATGGTATCAGCGTAGTGCGGTACTTACGTAAGTAGAGACCAACGAACGCAGCAATTTTTTCATTTTGTTTTTTTCTATTCTCTATATAAAAAAAACGCGCGCACTTAGTACAAGTTGTGGTCATAAAAATGGTGCCTTGATTTTTCRTCACACGTTCAAGTAATGAACTGWTTAATGTTACGAAGTAAAATGAACCCCACGAGTAGTTTAGATTCTAGTGATTAATTCATGCTTTCCCGGATTTAAAAACGTGACGACCTCAAATGACACACGTGGCTATTTCACGTCTCCGAGTAAACAAGTGAACAAGTTTTGCAATTTGCATGTGTTTACATTTAGCCACATTTTAACCACAAACATTATGCCATGGACAAGAGGACCAAGAGATATTCAGCTTCAGCTCGGCCTTTCGTTAAAATCTACTAACTGACATGACGTAACCTTGTCAAAAACATTAAATCGTGATATTTAAGAGCGACCCGTTCTCAGAGAATCTTCTCATTAATTTTGACACCTCACGAAGAATAGGATATGAACCAACAGGTTTTTCGAAGCTATTAATGGCGTAACAATATACGTAGGCATTTSGCAAATACTCGAAATTGCTAGACAGACTAAGCCTGATATCCTTGTAAGTATATGAAGAGCTTGTTGAAAGATCGGTGTAGTCTAGTCACGGTWAACCTTTTTATACTGCATGTTTGCTTCCAAGGAAAACCGAAACGGAGAATAAGACGGTAGTGTTCAGCGTAAAAAGAGAAGGAGGAAATGATGACAACAGAACCAAGAAAAAAAAAAGAAAGAGAAAAGGAAAAAGAAAGAAAAGAAAGAAAGCTGGGAGACAGGGACTGAAAAAAGGAAAGAGAAAAAGAAAGACCGTATTACTTAATTTGATTTTTACTGTTTCGCATCAGTTGAGAACACTAGATGAAATTTGAGCTAGAGCCTTAATAGCCATAGAGTCCACGCAGCAAGTACATCAGTTAACCTCTATATCCGATAGATGTACGTCAAGATTAACCTTAATAGGGAATATTGCACGATTTGAAAGAGTTAATTCCAAATAAAAACAAATCGACGTGCTAATAGTCATGAAAGTTTCAGAATATCAACGACAAAAAAAATCCTGGCTTCCGGGATGCGGCTTATGCTGAAGATCCGAAGCAAAATGTGCAAGGGACTGGCTTTGTTTTTTGGAACATCCACCATGTCTCTATACAAAGCAGTCAGGAGTTTCAAATGGAAGAAAAAACCTCAACTTTAACTTTAAATTTTGAAAGTTCCATTTTGAATACTGATTTTAATCACACTATAAGCTAAGAGGGTCAGTTAGAATTGCATAACCTTGGATCACTTTACGTCGTGAGCAGCAGACACCGATGTATTGCACAACATGGCACAATATGATCTCGACAGCAAATATGGTCATACCCTGTTCGCCTTCTAATATCATTGATTTTTTTTCTTTCAGGATGAAAACACTGTAGTGTGGCTCCTTGAGTTAAACAATCCAATATGTTAAACCATCCAATATGTTAAACCATCCAATATGTTAAACCATCCAATATGTCCTTGTCTTAATGAGAGAGCAACGAGGAAAACAAATTTTACAGAAATTTGTAAATCAGTAAAGAAGTTATTTCTAACATGTATGATGTAATCTAAATTTGACAGTCTGGCATGAGAAAAAATAAAAGATACCTCGCACTCTCCGCAGGGGCCTGATTTGTTTGATTAACACACCCGAGGTCATTTGGATTCCATTCATTTTATATGTAGGTAGTACAGAATCCAGACACACCCAACCCCGATCAACGCATTTGATACACACAATCTCGTTTAAATTTGTAAATAAAAAAATTAAGACTTTTCTAAAATTCTATGTATCCATCAATRTTTGGTGCCCGACCCAGATAAGAGTAACTTTCGGTCATGTGTTGTCAATTTTCGCTGACAAGCGTATTCTGGTATTTCTGGCACCTGTTTTCCAAAAATACGACCTTTTATCGGAATTTTTCAAATGAGTTTTGAAAGCCGAGATACCAGGAATCATTGYTATTGAAGGGCCGTCCTCTATTTTTGAAAAGTGAATACCGTCCTCTATTTTTAAAAAGTGAATACTTTTTTATTTCAAACTACGAGTATCGGTTGGATATTATCATCTCCGAGCAATCGATGACCGGTGCTGTGATATGACTGCGGAATATGACAGTTCAAGACTGAAAAAGTTAAAAAAATAAAATAAAAAAACCCTGGAAAAAAACCGAAATTAGTGCGTTTATATATGGATCAAAAATAGGTAATTTATTGACTGAAGAGCTTGATTAATTTTAATGAATGAGCAATTCTCGTGATTSTTGCCTTTCCAAAGGCGCCAAAGTTACCATATTCGGTGTTTTTGACGTYTTCCTCAAAAAATCAAACTTGATATGGTCTAAAATAGACTTGCAGGTGAGAGACTCAAGTGAAAGGTCCTCGCGTGTCGCCTTTTTGAATTCTCTTTCTTGAAATGGATAAACAAAGTAAGGTTTTAGTAAGGTGATCAGACTGAATTAATAAAAACACAAACTATAGTTTTAAGGAAATTACTTTTTTAAATTAATAACTAACTTTTTGGGGGTTATTCATATTGTATATTCAAGGGAGACTTGACTGCACAAGACTAATTAACGTTTGACACATGACATTGTAAGGGCACGCCCATGTATAAGAAGGCTTTGTCGTGTTTAAAAACACAGATGAACAAGTCTTGCTGTTTTTTTTGTTTTAAGATTTATATTTATTTCGTCAATTCCACAGCTGACATCGTTAGACGAGCTAGAAGTAACTATTTTTAAATGAAAGGTTTATCGAACAATAAATCGAAAACAATTAAAGCACATGTTCATTTTTAACGTGGCTTTCTTTCTCAAYATGTTGTTTTCGATTCACCTGACAAAAAGGAAGTGTTATGCTGTGTTTTTTGTTCATATTCAWTGCAAAATTAAAATTTGTATTGGAATGGGTTTAGAAACGTTTTTGAACAGATTTGAAAAAACTTTCCGGCTCTAGAATTTCGAAAATGATAACCGCACGTACTTGGCCCGGGGACTTGGCTTGTTTGTTTAGTTTTGTTTGAATTTATTAATTTAATATAACTAAAGTATATACTGCAGMGCTTTGAAATGCTTTTCAGTGCTTTAGGTTAAAGCGTATTTCAAGTTTTCCCGGTTAAGACCGCTTTTCTTTAGACCATGAATCGTTTGAATATATTTAACAGATAGTTTCATCAAAAAGAAGAAAAAAAAACCGCTTAAAAATACAAATACCTAAAAGTCTATGTTTATTTGCTAATCCAATGCAAAATAAAATGCTGTAAAAATAGAAATGACGAGAACAGCGATTTGCGGTCRAATTAACCTTCCCTAGCAATTTAGCAAACTTATTACGTAGCAATTTATTTACATTCTTGTGTTTTTAGGTCATACAAAGGCCAGTGGTTAACCAAACTCATTGTGTAGTTAATTATACCTCTCAAGGAAGTTCAAATTCCCTGCTAAAAAACTAAAATAACACTTCGTTTACTCAAGCTTATAACTTAGCTCTTTTCTGTTTCTGATTAAAGATATATCTCACTTATTATAAATTTTGGTTGGAACTTTCTGGTTGCATTTTTTAATATGAAAAACACTATTGAAGTGTATTTCAATAGGTACTATACTGCTTAATCCATCGTTAAATCGTTTTAGTRAACTACGCATTTGGCTTCAAATAACTACCTGCTATAGCACAACAAAAGAGGGGATCAGGGTACCATTGGATTCAGGCCAGAAAAAAATAACAACCTCTGTGCAAACAGACAATCATGGGCGCGTTTTGCGATGACAAATAAGCGAGGGCTTGGCCAATTGAAAAGGCAAACAAAGAAAGGTCCTACAAAGTTCAATAAGTGTATCATTTATTGTTCTTTCTAGAATGAAAATACAGTTCGTGCACGCTTAAATTTTTAGTCGTTGTTTATAAACTTTCTATGGACAAAACTCGCCTACAAACAAAAAACAATGGATCGAGAATTTGTGTTTTGTTGGCGGGAATCATTCCAAGAGTTTTCTAGCTACAAAGCTCTATAAAGTCGCGCCCWTATTTGATATCGTAACATCTTACGTTACGTTAGCGTTTGTACGTAATTAGGAAACAGTTGATCACATGCTTGGCAAATGGTRTCTAACCAGTGCAGTCAACCGCGTTTCCATTTCCCTGATTGATGGTTGACAACCCAGAGAAACCATGCAAATTTGTGCGTGTCTATCAAAAAAGATGTAAATCTGCTATTTCCAGTTTAATTTGTTAAAATTATGAAAAACTTACTTCGTTTTTGTAAGTTTTTAAGTTTTTAAGAGCGTGTGAGAATATTCTTGTGTTATTATAAGCACGAGGAGGTCATGTGRATGCGTGGTCAACTGTTTTGTTGTTATGAGTAAGGGCACAAGAATGTCAACAAACCGCAAGCCAAGTACAGTCAAGTATCAATTCATAGCTAATAAACACTATGTATCTTAATTTATTAAACTTAACTATCGATTCGAGAAATTTCAGCAAACAAAATTTGAAYGTCATTTGCGCCGAGTCGTGAACTGAAATTCGAAGGCGCGAATAGAAASTGAAAAGTAGTTCGCGCACGCATCGATATTTTCTTTGATAAATATAGCAAAAACACACACACACACACCAGTGAAATTTCAATAACAAGAGATGTGTGCATTTAAAATATAGTAAACTGCYCGCTAATGTCTGAAACGKAAYRAAATCTTTGTGGTGTGCACTCAGTTATAGATTGCTTTATCATCACTGAACACGCGCACAAACCAAACACTTTTCTATTAATGTAGCTCACTATCATTTCAAATTCTATCTGTATATGACCCATTTTCATAAATACCGCTTCAACAAATTGCCTTAAAACATGTTAAAATAAACTTCAAAGTTTAAGTATTGCTTTACAATAGTTAGATAAAATCACAAACTGAAATAGAAGCCAGTTATAGCAATGTTTTCAGAGAGGAAGACTTGGTTAAAAATATATATGATTCTAGCTATGTCGGCGAATGAATTGAAGTGAACTTCAAGTGCCATTTTCTATATTGTTATTCTTCAAAACAGTTTGAGTATTCCATAAAAGGAAACATTCCGTTTATTCAAAGAGACTCAGAAAATAAGCGAGCTATAAATAATAATCACGATAATAACAGCCCTAAGACTAAGTTATAAACCGACGGAGATGATGACAGCAATCAAGTCAAAAACAACTTCAAAAAATAAAAGAAAWAAATCAGGTCTTGTTCATTTGCTAAATATAAACTGTTATCAAAGTGGAAGCAGCAAAATTAGAAAATACGTAAATGGACTAGAATKATTTATCACTATGATAAGTTGTAGCTACAAAAAGAGCTATAGTGATAAAGAAGATGGGAGAATAAAAAACACACGTCCTTCTGGCGTCAGGGCCGGAGGAAAGAATGTTGTTTGTCAATACTTTTTTAGCATTTATAACTATTTTTGGCCTGCGCAAGTTGTGAGCACGATCGGTTCGTTAATAATCTGACGCACGATGTCTTAGCTTGACATGTGAATGATCTCATTTCCCCCCTAAGATGATTGTTCTGTGATCTCCTTGTTCTCAACGCGCGCACAATAACACACTGCTAGCGCACTGGTTTGCTCAGCTATGACTTACACAGGCAAGGACTAATGAAGCAATTTTATCAAATAACACAAAAATACAACTATAGGATTGTGGCAAGTCGAAAAGTTCCACATAAATTACACTTTGGATCAGTATAAAGCTTTAAAGAAAATCTCTCATTGTTCTAATTGAAAATTAAGTTTAACACTCTGCGCACCTTTGCGCACCCTTTGCCCGCGATAATGTCATCCGGGCTACAGYGAAAAAGTCTTTTAAATGACTGATCTTACAATTAATGTAGATCTATTGCCGTGGAAAATGAACTTTGATTATCAAAATGAAAATATATGGATTTTCTGCAAATATACTTGCAAATTCAGTGAGCATTACGAAACACTAATTTAAAAAAAGAATTGCCCATAACATGGCGTATACGACATTTTTTCTCGGTATTATAAAGGYGTGTCTAAGAACTCGATTATATCTTATGTTTTGGAATCCGATTTGGTTTTAGAATATAAGCCTGAATAAATGCCATTGAAGGATTATTTAACAAATAAATAAGTCTCAGCCGTGGTTTATATGCTTTGATAAACGCACGCTTGGTATTTKAAACACACGAGAAAATGTCAAGAAGCACGAGCTGAAGTTTTATTATATGGATTTTGAGCAAAACTTAAGCAAAAATCCATTTTGTTGCCTTTTTCAAAAATCGCTCGCGCACAATCGTGGTTTATACTCTCATAAACCACACTTTTTTGGCCAATCAGAGCGCGCGTTAGAAATCATCTATACAATAAATAAAGATATGCGATACTCAGTCTAGAGCTGATGGAAAGAAACCCGTTCGTGCTGCCTCACTTAAACTATAAAAGTCAACTTTTTTCAAAGGAAATATCTTTGCAAAACTTTCAGATAAAAACTTTATCAGCACAGAACATAATAGTGGATTGTTTTAAAATCAGACATCCTTCATATACTGAAACATGTATCCCAAACATTTTTGGGCAGACAGACAGACAGACATCTTTATTAGGTGAGTTTTAGAAT